AAGTTTCGAGAGTACTGTCACTGTCACAACTCTGAAGAACACGCATACGTAATAGAGGAGCAGAAGGAACAAAACAAGTGAGAGGAATGGAACACAGAAGTCTGCGTGAAATTTTAATGTCTACGCTCTATACAATAAACTACTGGCGCCTGCATCAAAATAGATTGCGACATGAAAATCTGAAAAAAAAAAAAAAATACATGAACCAAATCGATTTTACCTCGTTTTTTGGATACAGAAGCCGAACGAATACGAAAGTGAGACTCAAATTTCTTCTTCAGTGCTTCATCAGTTGTTTTAAAGCTTAAATTCTTCACAAACAATGTTGTTCCTGTCAAAAACGACTCGTCCTCTTCTTCATTTCCATCGTCCGCACCAAATTCACAGTTACTTTCGGATTTCTTAACATTTTCTGTCTCATCTACTGCAACTTTCGGCTTCTTTTCTTTCACTGCGCCAGACTCAACTGCCACTGAAAAATCACCTTTGCAATAGTGGAACACACATTTACCTCTTCTTTTCTTGTTAAAGTCATCCCTTTAATGTCCCCCTTTTTATAAAGCGGAACAATTTCTTGCTCACTTCATGAAAAAAACCTGAAAATCTGATAAAGTATTTTTAAAATGAATAAAAAACACAGAGTATGTTCTGGAATACCAAACATTCGATTATAAAAAGCAGCATTTCCCAAGAAATCAATGTGGGCACCGAAAGAAAACAGACTGTAACAGGAGAAACTGGTCCACTTCAGAAAGCCTAACAGAATAGGGCAAATAACTGAAGAAAAAACCAGAAATGCGCCCTACACATCGCACTTGTGCCAGCTAAACTATACATTACATGAAATTTTTCTACAAATTCCACTGGGCGATTTGGGCAAAATTCAGAAGAAAATTTCGGATTATTTGTGAACAAATGTTAGCGCACAATGTAACTATACTAACGCAAAGTAAAAAGCAAAAAAAAAAAAAAATAAAGTAACGAATGCCAAACTATTAATCTGCTGATTCAGAAAGTTAAGATTCTATATCTCAACGAAGCAGCGACGATCAAATGAGGATATTCCAAAGGGAAATCAGTCCCACGTTTAATAGTAATCAATCCATCCCTCAAAATAGTGAGCCCTGGACAATTTTACCAAAGGTCGGAATCTGGTTGGTCTCGGAATAAGCAGCTGTTCGGGTTATTTTCAGAAGCACTCGTCTTCAAAAAAAGTGGGTACGGACGAGGTAACGCTTGAGAGACCGTTTTAAACATAAATCTGAAAATTTTTTCCGACTGGCAGGCAAATATGGCCGCACTGTTTGTTTTTTCACGGTGCATTTCTGCTAGAAACATACGAAGACGCAAAAATGAGTAAAAAAGCTTACCATCCTCCGAGTTTCTATCATTTTGTTGCGATTCAGCCGGCTGATCCTTCTTCAAACGATGCTTCTTGCTTCTTCTTAGTTCTCTCTTGTCTTGGATTTTCTCAACCTGGGATGTTGTCTGTTGTTTCTCATCCTGCACTTCCGTCTCTTTTGCACTGGTCTCTTCTGCAAAACAATGAAATTCTCGTGAAAGAAGAGAAATTCTCAAGGTAATGTATGGTAGCATTGAGAGGTACCTGTAATGAAAACGTCACAGGGTGCCCATTCGAGATACAATGGCTGTGTACGAAGCCTTGCATACGCAAGCGAATCGAATGCCTTCTTGGCGTCCACTGTATTCTCCATTTCAACGATCGCACTCACACAGCCTGCAGAGTGGCACAGCAATCGCAAACAAAATAAAATATGATTTCAAGGGAAGCAGTCCGAGTGTTCATTGCCCAGTAAAATTTCATAACTGTAACTTAATCTTACCAAAAAAAAAACTAAATGCTACTCGATAACACTGAATCAATCAACAGTAAGTTCTGCACGAGAAAATATGCATCTGGTTAAGACACTAAGGCGAAGTTGGACTTAGTAGACTACTTTCGTGGTGTAAAAGGAAGAAGGTGCAAATAGCAAGAAACGAAGATGACTGCTAAACCCCCTTCGTCTTGCCCAGTTCCCCTTCGGTTCCCTGTGATATGCAAATGCTCCGCCTCTTAACTCGAGTCCCCCTTCCCCACTCTGTGATATTTAATGTGGTGATTAGGAATGAAATTAAAAATTGTTTTTGTTGAACCAAAAAGTGTGCAGAGATAGCTTGGAGCTGCTGCCGGGCAATTTCGGGGTTTTTGTCTTTTTTTTTGATTTGTTTTGTAGTTGTACTAATAAAGACGTGTTTTGGAGCGTTTGCCCGCAGCAGCCCAGCCTTCTCCTCCTGATCGTTACATTCAAAGAGCAAATAGAAGGGCTGAAAGGTAACAGAATTTGCATGCATATGCAGAAAGGCATGAAATTCTATCTGTGCGTGCACATGTGTTTGTTCACGTCCTCAACCTAGCGACGCGATCTCAGCCAGAAGGTGAATCAGTCCAAATTTTTCGGATTCAGCTGTGATCCTGAGTTAGTTCATCAATCTCACTGGATCTCAAGCTATGGCCTTGACTGCGGATATGCGCCAGAAATTCGTTTTTACTTTCAGCAAGCAGAACTGAGCAAGAAATGCATACTCACACCGCACTTTTGGTATGTATCATTACTTATTTCTGGTACTGTGACTGGGAAAAACAACTGTTAAACAGGGTAAGGTAGCTGTACAGGGGTAGTTATGTTCCCATATTGACATAACTCTGCCGCGATTTAACAAAAGAATGTAGCATTTAGCAATACAGTTTTAATTTCACAACCTAACAGAACTAAACAAAAGCTAGTTGCGCCCCCACAACCACTACTACTGCTACACTTTAATCACACCCAGTGATCATATATCTGCACACACATGCACACACGCACACACGCACGCACGCACACACACACACACACGCACGCACACGCACACACACACACATATATACACACACAGTTATTAAAAAACAAATATATACACAGATAAAAACTTTGGTCTCATTCAAA